TCGTTCGCCGCACACGGAAAGATTTTGGCACGCGAGGCAGAAATTATCAAACATGTTAGATATTTGGCGTAAGTGACACGAATGACAAAAGTCGTTCGTAAATCGCCCGCACACGAGAGCTATCTCCTTACGCCAACGGTCACGAATGACATTTTGCTAAGCACATAGCTCTAGTGTGCGCCGGCCTTAAGTGGCACGAATGACAAAAGTCGTTCGTAAATCGCCCGCACATGAGAGCTATCTCCTGACGCCAACAGTCACGAATGACATTTTGCTAAGCACATAGCTCTAGTGTGCGCCGGCCTTAAGGGGTCTGTCCTTGCGAAATATTTTATATCCTGATAATAGAAATTGGTTATTTGGAAAAGAACCATTTAATTTGGTTTCACCAATGACCAACACATCGAGAATATTTTCATGAAGAATTTTAGTAATCTCTAGAAACTTTGTTCCGCCCAAGCTATTAATGTTTAAGTGTCCGATTTTAAGATTTCGCAGGTATTTAATACCAAAGTCCTGAAGTAAATCAGAAGATTCACTTGTTGAACTAGAGTTTACACTGCTGTGACTGGAGTTAAAAAAGCTGTCCGATAGCTGAGGTAATCCACAGGTGAAACAGGTCCAAATGTTTGTAGCTGAGCAGCCTGAGCTTGACAAACCTGTACATTTAAGATGAAATAGTCTTCGACAGTTATCACAGTAGACGCCATTTTGGTTACTTCGAACGGTCTTTTCGCATTCGCCACAACATCTAGAGTTAGATTTATCTATCTTTGTTTGTTGAAGATTTGATAGAGGTCCAGGGTTTGTTTCAACATCGTTATACATAAATAAGTCTTTAGGAAGGCGATTATCTGGAAGGGAAATACATAAATGACCCCGCTTTGTCCAATTCACAATAGCTCGACGAATTTTGCTATATTTTGAATTATAAGATAATCTTATAGCAGCAATCACCGATCCATTATCAGAGTGACATAGAATACTTTCCGTTGACCGCCCAACCCGTGCAGTCAGATCAAGGATAACCAATATAAGCGGCAAAATGCGATATAGGCGATAGCTGTAAAACAAGCCCGCCATGTTGCCTTAGTTGTGGGGACACGGGCAGAGATGCATGAGCACTTGGGAAGGTACTTTACTCTTGGAGTTTCTATGAAGTCTTTTCCAAATAGTCAAAGTAGTTACAGTCAGACAGGATTAAGAATAAATTAGTGCTGCAGAATATAAATCAGGTATTTAGTAATTTAGATATTCAATTAGTGTAATTTTCAAATAACTGTTAAGCATAAAAAATATCTTTCTGTAAAAATGTAGATTCTCATAAAATTTCTGAATAATTCACATCTTTGTTTTACTTTTCCGGGTTGAAAGATCTGAACACGTAATTAATGCATCTATGCATGATTTCTGTATGAAAACTTGATTTCGCTGGAGAGGTATGAGGTGCCCTCCAGTTTAATCCTATTTTAATACTTATATTTTGTTTTGCTTCATAGTATATTTTAATACCAATCCAAGAACGTTCATGCGATATACGGTTTATAAATCTTATTCCGATGTTGCTTACCCCAACCAATAAGACAGAATCCCTTCAGATGTTTTCCTCCCAAACCCAGTCCTGAGAAGACTTTCACGAGTTGAAGGTAAATGATAATTCCTTCACATAGCATCCATCCAAAAAGAGCGAGTACAAAGAAATATAATAGAATGGAAACAGCTATACAGAATGTCTAGAAATGAAAGAAACAAAATAAGTTATGATTGCATATACTATAGAACCTAAGGGGCAACCCCACCCCCCAAAAATATTGAAAAAATTCGGGCACATGTTAGGAAAAATGAAGAAAATTCGGGCACATGTATCCAGGGACGCCGGAACTGGGGGGCAGGGGGGGGCGGCTGCCCCCTTGCCTTTTGCTAGGGGGGGCAGGGGGGGGGGCAGAAGTGCCCTTTTAGTTGTAAAATAATACGTGATAAATCACTTTTCCAACGATGCTTTTTGTAGGAAAATGACGAGATTCAGGTAATTTATAGTTTATATTTATAAAAATTTTGGGAAATTTTTGGAATTTAGAAAAATATTTTGAAGAAATGGCGAAAATTTAAGATATCCGGAAAAAATTTTGGCTTTGGGGGGGGGGGGCGCCAAAAAATTTTGCAGTGAAAAAAAATTTTTCACTAAAGGTGCCCTTGGTGTGCGGCCGCCCCCTTTGCCCTATTATCGTTCCGGCGTCCCTGCATGTATCAAAAAATATGTTGCATTCAGGTAATTTCACTACAATATTCCACAAAACTTTCAAGTGCTCCCCCGCGCGGGAAAGTATCAGGCCCATACGCTTACGATTTTTTCTGAGCTTCACCTCGTATTTTAGTGCGGGTCCGGCCAAGATAGCAAAGATATCTGTCATTCCAATCACAACACAGAGATGCATGAGCACTTGGGAAGGTACTTTACTCTTGGAGTTTCTATGAAGTCTTTTCCAAAACAATGCGTAAATCAATATCGTCAGAATTACTCCAACTAGCGACACAGAACAGCCAATGGTGGATATTATCTCCAAAGCTTTTCTTTCATCTTTGCTTATTAGCTTGAGGAAATAAATGCAGTATAGAATAGAGCACAGCATCAACTACAGTAGAACAGGGCCTTTTTTAAAGATTTTCCCGTGGGG